CTGTGGCCGTTTGCGGTCCGGTACGCTGCGCATCAGCTCAACCTCTGGCCCCATGTCTCCTTGCCGGAGACCTCACCCACACTGCGTTGGACGGGGAAGGTTGGCGATGCGTCGTTGTTCCGGTTCTGGGGTTCTCGTGCCTTTGTCCGCGATACGTCCGCGGACAAGCTCTCCGCCCGCGCCATTCCCTGCGTCTTCCTTGGCTTTGTCCCTGACGCGCCTGACAGGCAATTTTACCACCCTACCTCACGCTGTGTCCTCCCCTCTCAGGTTGTCACATTTGACGAGTCGGTTCCCTTTTACCGTCTCTTCCCCTACCGCTCTGCCCATCTCCCTCCCCCGCCGCTCTTCCTTGCTCTAGGTCCCCCTCTGGTAGACCCCCTCCCTCCTCAGGGTCCGGCTCCCTCAGGTGTCTCTCTGGTAGACCCACCCCCTGGTGCTGTGCCTGGTGAGGTAGCTGTAGACTCAGGTGCTGCTAGAGGTACTGCATCTGGGGTTGCTGAGCCTGGGGGTGCTGAGACTGGGGGTGCTGAGCCTGGGGGTACTGAGATTGAGGGTGCTGAGATAGGGGGTGCTGAGCCTGAGGGTGTTGAGCCTGGGGGTGCTGAGTCGGAGGGTGCGGAGTCTGGGGGTGCTGAGCCTCAAGGTGCTGCTTCCTCTGAAGGTTCTGCTGGTGCTTCGTCGAGACTATCTCTGCAGCAGCTGCGTGGGTGGCTTGTTCGGCGCGCACGCCTTCGGAGTGGAGCTACCAGAGCAGGAGGTGCTGGAGCCCCTAGAGCTGGAGGTGCTGGAGTTACTGCTGGAGCTGGTGATCCTGGAGGTACTGCGGCTACTGGTCCTGGAGGTGCTCGTACCCAGGGTACTGGAGCTGCCAGGGCTGGTGGTGTTGGGGGCGCTTGAGCTGGAGACCCTACGGAGTCTGGAGCTGCTGGAGCTGGAGGCTGTGGCGCTGGTGGCGCTGGAGCTGGAGGAGCTGGAGTTGGAGGCACTGGAGCGAGAGGCGCTGGAGTTGGAGGTGCTGGAGCTGTTGACCCTGGAGGCACTGTGCGGCTGCGACCGTACTTCGTTCCCCGACTTCAGCAGGTTCTTGGTGTCCCGTCTTCTACTGGCCTTACTCCTCCCTTACTGTGTCCACCGCTTGACCAGTCGCAGCCGTCGTTACAGCCGGCCGCCCCACTACTTGCTCCCTCTCCTTACACTGAGCAGACCGGCGGTCTTACAGAGCGTCGTGAGCCTGCGTCTCGTCCTGCCTCCCTTGTTCGCACTGGTCGTCGCGTTCCTCGTCCGCGTCCTCCTCCTGTCCCGGGCACACACGCTATGACACTTCGTCCTTCCTCTGTTCCACTGCGTGTTCCTCTGCCGCCTCCTCCTCAGTCCTCTCTTCCTGCCGTCCCTGACCCTGAGTCTAACCGCGTTCGTGCTGCCAGTCCCACTGTCTCTTTTCTCCTTGCCACTTCTGTCACTGACCCTTCCTTTGAGTCCACTGCCGCGTCTGCCCTCATTGCTGAGCTGCTTGACTTTGCTGCTGCCTGTCGTCTAGACTACGCCATTGCTCTTGTTGCTGAGTCTGAGTTTGGCAGTCCTCCGTCCGTTGGGGGTGAGTGTGCTCTTGGCACGTGCGTCCTTGAGGATAGGCAGGAGGGCTTTGAGTGTCTTGCAGCTGCTGTACCTCGTTTCACTTCCATGCTGCTTGCCCCTGAGGGAGATCCGGATGCACCAGACATCCCGACCCCACGCTCTTACGAAGAGTCGATTACGGGTCCCAACTCCTCTCAGTGGCAGGCAGCCATGGATGCCGAGATGGCATCCTGGGAGTCCACAGGCACCTACGTCGACAAGGTTCCCCCACCTGGGGCGAACATAGTCGATGGCATGTGGATTTTCAGGGTGAAGCGGCCGCCGGGTTCTCCGCCTGCCTTCAAGGCGCGTTACGTTACTCGAGGCTTTAGTCAGCGACAGGTGGTTGAATAGTTCCAGACCTTCTCCCCCACCCCGAAGATGACTACTCTTCGGGTGTTGCTGCACATCGCTGCTCAGCGTGACTACGAGTTGCACTCTCTGGACTTCAGGACAACTTTCGTGCAGGGCAGCCTGCACTAGGAGATCTGGCTGCGCCGCCCACTTGGCTTCACTGGGCCGTTTCCTCCAGGTACCCAGTGGAGCCTCCGTCGGCCAGTCTACGGTCTCCGCCAGGCGCCTCGTAAGTGGCACGACACACTGAGGACTACACTTGCGGCTCTTGGGTTTGCTCCTTCTACTACTGACCCGTCGCTGTTTCTACGCACCGACACCTCGCTGCCGCCGTTCTACGTCCTCGTGTACGTCGACGACCTCGTCTTTGCTACTGCTGACACCGAGGCACTGACCCTTGTGAAGTCGGAGCTGCAGAAGAGACACACCTGCACTGACCTGGGTGAGCTGCGCAGCTATCTTGGCTTGCAGATCACCCGGGACAGAGCACGGCGCACCATCACACTGACTCAGTCACACATGGTGCACCAGGTCCTTCAGCGCTTCGGTTTCCAGTTCTCCTCGCCACAGCCCACTCCTCTGTCTACCAGCCACTCGCTCTCAGCTCCACCTTCGGACGAGTTCGTAGAGCCGAGTGGTCCGTATCCAGAGCTTGTGGGTTGCCTCATGTACCTGATGACGTGCACACGACCTGACATCGCGTACCCTCTCAGCCTTCTGGCTCGCTACGTGGCTCCCGGTAGGCACCGAAAGGTGCACTGGGATGCTGCAAAGAGGGTACTACGTTACCTCTGCAGTACTTCGGGCATGGGGCTCGTGCTTGGAGGACGGGGTCCAGTTGTCCTCACTGTTCACGCAGACGCTTCTTGGGTTGACGACTCAGCTAAGCAGCGGTCGTCACAGGGTTACACCTTCAGCCTTGGTTCCGGCTCTGTTTCCTGGTGGTCTACCCGCTCGTCTTCGGTTCTCAGCTCTAGTTGTGAGGCTGAGATCTACGCAGGGGCCATGGCTGCACAGGAGCTACGCTGGCTCACCTACCTGCTGAATTGGGAGAGCAGCCTTGTTCGCCTCCAGTTCTGTACGTAGACAACAAGGCCATGATTGCCTTGTGTCAGGAGCACAGACTGGATCACAGAACGAATCACATCGCTCTGCGATACTTCCTTGCTCGAGAGTTGCAGCAGCGTGGCCACCTTCGTCTTGCTTACGTGGCCACTAGGGCCAACACTGCTGATATATTCACCAAGGCACTTCCACCTGGTGATCATCAGCACTTCTCTACTGTGGTAGGCCTTGTGCCTACTCTGCCTCACTTGCTTAGTGCGTGACTTTGCTTGTACTGTGATCTCTATATATACTTGCATGCTTGCACTTGCCAGGGTATGATCACTGTACTGTTTGTTCTATTTTAGATAACTCTGCATGTGAACTGGCCTTGTGGCCCTTTGCTTGTGCTAGGACTGTGTGGTGACTTTGTGATCCACCCTGAGCTTGCTTTGCTTTGCTTGACTGGTCTTGTGGCCACTTGTTCTCCCCCACTTTGCCTATGGGGGTGTGTCAAAATGTTATATAGCTGATATTGTGTAGGCTATAGTGGGGTAGCCCATAAGGGGTACAACCCAATTAGGGTTAGTACTTGTACCAAACTCTTTGCTAGTTCATTCATTCTCGTTCGTTCTTTCTGACAGGGGCTGCTCGCAGGCACCAGTGGCTGCTCGCGGGAAGCAAGGGTGCACGTGACAGCAGGGCAGCGTGCTAGGGTAGGCAGTGCGAGTAGCTGCAGGTCAGCATGACACTGTGCGAGAGTGCCGGACAGCGCAAGGGCGCTTTGGGCTGGAACTAGCGGAACAATCGGTGGGCCCTAAAAACCTAACAGGTTTCCTGCTCTGAATACCATGTCAGAATCAACTGTGCAGGAATGGTTGACTAGCAAGAAAGGATGAGTAAAAGTACTAGGTTTGACCTAAAGTACTAGGGGGAGGAGAGCGGTGTAGGGGGGACGAGAGCAGTTAAACGGGGGACATCAGAGTGTGGCGGACGAAGCAGCCCCCCCCCTCATCTGCAACTGCCGCCCTCTGCTCCCGTGGTACCTCCAGCTGATGCCCCGGTCGCCACTTTGCTTGTCTTGACTTTCTATTGCTGTTGTGCGGCAGGTGCTGCCGTTGAGCCCAGCTGTGCCGCCACCGCTTGTGCCGCACGCTCCTGCTCTCCAGGCGGCCTGCCGCCACATGCACCTACTGCTGCTGTGCCGCCGCCCTTGCCGCCGCACGCTCCTGTTTCTGCTGCTTCTACCTTGGCTGCTGGGTTGCTGCAACTGTATCTGCCACTATTGCACTGGTTGTCACTGCTCTTGCGTGCTGCTGCTTTGTTCTTCTTGGTGTACCCCTGCAGGTTGTGTCTAGCACTTGGCTCTTCCTGCATGCAGTTAAAGGGGGATGTCAAAATTATATTATAACTGCATCTAGTTCTTGCCTTAGTGTAGTTATCCTAACTTCCTGCTTGGTGGTGTACCCACCTTTCCTACCCTATTTGTACTCCACTTTCTATAGTGAAATCACTTTTCCTCCTTCTCAACTCTCTCGATAGTCCATGCCTAGCCTCATCACTAGCATGGCTCCTAAGCTTACCCCTAGCTGGAGCCCCTAGGCCCCTTGGCCCCGTCGCCCCTAGCCGCGCCCCCTAGGCCACGTCGTCTCGGCCCCTCGCGACCCTAGGCCCGTTGCCCCGTCGCCTCGGCCCCTTGGCCCCGTCACCCCCAGCTGCGGCCCCTCGCAACCCTAGGCCCCTTCGCCTCGGCCCCTTGGCCCCGTCCCCCCTAGCCGCGGCCCCCAGGCCCCGTCGCCCCCAACTGCGGCCCCTCGCGACCCTAGGCCCGTCGCCCCGTAGCCTTGGCCCCTTGGCCCCGTCACCCCTAGCCGCGGCCCCTAGGCCCCGTCGCCCCCAGCTGCGGCCCCTCGCGATCCCAGGCCCCATCGCCTCGGCCCCTTGGCCCCGTCGCCCCTAGCCGCGGCCCTCGCGACCTCTCGCCCCTAGTCGCGGCCCCGGTGCCCCGTCGCATCATGGAGGGGGGGGAGCTGCAGTCGCACGCGCAGTGCCCGTGCGTGCGACTGCAGCTCCCCTGCCTGCGTGCCCTGCAGTTGCACGCGCAGCTCCACCCCCGCCCCCCTCCCCCCCCTCCCCCCCCTCCATGGGGACGGGGGGGAGAGGGTGTGAGGGGGTGGCGGATGTGCCTCAGCAGCAGCAGCTGCCGCCACGCCTCCTCCTCTCTCTCTCCCTGCCGCACCATGTGTTGGGAGGGGGGGGGGAGCTTGGAGGTTCAGGGGGAGGCAGGAGGGGATCTGCAGCACCAGCCCCCCCCACCCCCCCTTTCTCCTCCATCCCTGGCGGGTGAAGGATTGTGGAGCAGCAGTGGGGGGGAGGGGATCTGCAGCACCAGCCCCCCCCGCCCCCCCCCTTCTCCTCCATCCCCCTGCTGCGGGTGCAGCAGTGGGGGGGAGGGGATCTGCAGCACCAACCCCCCCCGTCCCCCCCCTTCTCCTTCATCCCTGGGGGGTGACGGATAGTGGAGCAGCAGTGGGGGGGAGGGGATCTGCAGCATCAGCCCCCCCCCCGCCCCCCCTTCTCCTCTCTCTCTCCCTGCCGCACCTTGTGTTGGGAAGGGGGGGGGAGCTTGGAGGTTAAGGGGGTGGCAGGAGGGGATCTGCTGCTGCCACGCCTCCTCCCCTCTCACGGCTGCGCCTGCTGCTGTGGGGGGAGAGTATGGGAGAGCTTGGAGGTTCAGCGGGTGGCAGGAGGGGATCTGCAGCACCAGCCCCCCCCCCCCCCCCCCCTTCTCCTCCATCCCCCTGCTGCAGGTGCAGCAGTGGGGGGGGAGGGGATCTGCAGCACCAGCCCCCCCCCCCCCTTGTCCTCCATCCCCCTGCTGCAGGTGCAGCAGTGGGGGGGAGGGGATCTGCAGCACCAGCCCCCCCCCCGCCCCCCCCCCCCCCCCCCCCCCCCCTCCCTTCTCCTCCATCCTCCTGCTGCGGGTGCAGCAGTTGGGGGGAGAGGATCTGCAGCCCTGTGCGCCCCGCGCGCCCTGCAGCCCTGTGCGCCCTGCTGCCCTGCAGCCCTGTGCGCCCTGCTGCCCTGCTGCCCTGTGCGCCCCGCGCGCCCTGCAGCCCTGCTGCGCCCCGCGCGCCCTGCTGCCCTGCTGCCCTGTGCGCCCCGCGCGCCCTGCAGCCCTGCGCGCCCTGCGCGCCCTGCTGTCCTGCTGCCCTGCGCGCCCTGCAGCCCTGCGCGCCCCGTGCGCCCTGCTGCCCTGCTGCCCTGTGCGCCCCGCGCGCCCTGCAGCCCTGCTGCGCCCCGCGCGCCCTGCTGCCCTGCTGCCCTGTGCGCCCCGCGCGCCCTGCAGCCCTGCGCGCCCTGCGCGCCCTGCTGTCCTGCTGCCCTGCGCGCCCTGCGCGCACTGCAGCCCTGCGCGCCCCGCGCGCCCTGCTGCCCTGCAGCCCTGTGCGCCCTGCTGCCCTGCAGCCCTGTGCGCCCTGCTGCCCTGTGCGCCCCGCGCGACCTGCAGCCCTACTGCGCCCCACGCGCCCTGCTGTCCTGCTGCCCTGCGCGCCCTCCGCGCCCTGCAGCCCTGTACGCCCTGCTGCCCTGCAGCCCTGCGCGCCCCGCGCGCCCTGCTGCCCTGCAGCCCTGTGCGCCCTGCTGCCCTGCAGCCCTGCGCGCCCTGCTGCCCTGCAGCCCTGTGCGCCCTGCTGCCCTGTGCGCCCCGCGCGCCCTGCAGCCCTGCTGCGCTCCGCGTGCCCTGCTGCCCTGCTGCCCTGTGCGCCCCGCGCGCCCTGCGGCCCTGCGCGCCCCGCGCGCCCTGCTGTCCTGCTGCCCTGCGCGCCCTGCAGCCCTGCGCGCCCCGCGCGCCCTGCTGCCCTGCAGCCCTGTGCGCCCTGCTGCCCTGCAGCCCTGTGCGCCTCTGCTTCCCTGCTGCCCTGTGCGCCCCGCGCGCCCTGCTGCTGCCGCTACAGCCCTTGTTGTTGCCGCTACAGCCCTTGCTGCTGCCGCTACAGCCCTTGCTGTTGCCGCTACAGCCCTTGCTGCTGCCGCTACAGCCCTTGCTGTTGCCGCTACAGCCCTTGCTGTTGCCGCTACAGCCCATGCTGTTGCCGCTACAGCCCTTGCTGCTGCTGCTACAGTCCTTGCTGCGGCCGCTACAGCCCTTCCTGCTGTCCTGCGCGCCCCGCGCGCCCTGCAGCCCTGCGCGCCACACACGCCCTGCTGTCTTGTGCGCCCTGTGTGCCCTGCTGCCCTCTGCACGCGCATCTGCAGCCCCATGCACAGCCCCTACCCCGCCCCCCCCCTCCCCCCCTTTTCTCCTCCCTCTCCCTGCTGCACGTGCAGCAGTTGGGGTTGGGGGGTGGGGAGGGGAGGGGAGGGTGTGGGTGGTGGGTGACAGAGTTGCAGCAACTCCCGCCACGCCTCCTCCTCTCTCTCCTCACTGCTGCTGCCACTGCTGTACGGGGGGAGGTTGGGGGGTGCTGTGAGTCCAGCTGCAGCATCAGCCGCCTCCTCCTTATTTGCCATCTGTTAGAGACTAAGGACGGAGTCTATGAAGATTAGGGGCTGAAATATCTCAAAATCGTCAACTACAATTCTGGACAGAAAAGTCGTCTTCACAAGAAACGTTGTCGACGATTAACGCAATGTTAGAATTCTCTCAAACTCGAGTATGTTGTAGCCCTTAACCGTGGCTATCTTTCCCAATTTGAATAGTATCAACATATGGAGTATAACTCGAGTTATGAACTTCGGCGCACTAGGGGGTATGCTGCCATAGAAAAACGTAACTCAATCACAATTATCTCACAAGTTCACACAAGAAAGTTAGAGTAGCAATAAAACCAGGTAGGAGGGGATGAGGAGGACGAGAGGGAAGGTCCCAAGGGAGTCCCCAACCAAGGAAACCCCATACCACACAATTCCCCTCTCTATAGGCACCCCAACTTTGACATTTGTCACTTTCCCAACTCATGCCATCCACCTCATCCAACTTGGCCACACTTGCCAACCTGGTTTGGCTTCTCCCAACCACTTGGCACCATCTACAGTGATGGTGACAAATTTCCCAACCCCCAAAAGTCTGTACCCCATATTGAGTCAACCCGCAAATTCCTATAGTCGCCGCATCTCAATCAAAACTTTGAACGATCATATCTTTCTCGTTCTTGCTTTGATCGCAGCGATTCTCGGTTCGTCGGGAAGCTCTTGAGCAGAGGAGTCACTTCAGATACCTGCTCAAGCCAAATAACATTCACACACACTCAGAAAATCCAAACAACACCAAGCACAAATTCTTGCACACGCTCACACCACGCATGCAACACACGAACATATGATGGGAGGCAGACAGACGTGAATGCAAATGATGGCATCACATAACACCATCTCCTTCTTCTACTGCGCAGGGTGTATCCCTTCAGGGGGTGTTTCTACACATGATTCTTCACTTCAGGCAGTTAGGGGGTGTGTCAAAATATCATTGTATGCATTATTCTATAACTGCTTGTAGTGTAGACTTAGTGTAGTGCTTAACTTGTTTGGTGGTGCACCTTGGTTGCTTTGCCTATATCTTGTACTTTCTTCTCTTAGTGAACATCTTTTCCTCTCTCACTTTTTACTCTCGACAATTGCCTACCTCACACCCTAGCTATGGCTCCCTAGCTTATGAGCTCATCTCAACAAAAACGAATTATAAAATCATGGTACCGCTGTAACGTAACAAAAGCATACTGTAACAGTTACAATCGGTAACCACTGAGTTACTGTAGCGCAGCCTCGCACGCGAAGTGATCCGTTGAAAGCAAACCTGATTTTGGGTACGAAAACATTTGCTTCAACAATTACATTTCACAATCTATTCAGTAGGCTTATAAGAGAAAATATCGAGTCACTCTATGGCGAACAGTCACACCTAGATTCATTCACAAATGTTATGCTGCAACCCGAAACTTTGGACCCGGAAAAAAAAAGTACAGGATGTTTTCCGCAATTGGGTGTGTACAGTGCCTGCGTGCTTTGGGAAATGTCAAGTTCGATTGTGGAGGGAAAACCAGGGGTTGGGAATGATGCCGCGTGGGATGACGAATTCAAGTTGCAGGTGACATGCTGTAAGTGTGGTTTGCAAGACGCCAATCCCAGGCATCGGGAAAATTTCCCCAACGATGTCCGTCAAACATCAAGCGAATGAAACGCATGATGTTTGACACACATGTACATGTTCCGATGGCCGAACCCCAGAATTTTCTTCGACATCACCATTGGAGGAGCTCCGGCTGGCAGGATAATCATGGAGGTTCGTGATTACTCAGCGCGACCGTTTTCCGCGAGAGTTTCATTATTGCAAGTGGTTAAATGTGTCATAATCCCAACCACTAGACCATTGGGATAAAATGGCTTATTAAGTAGCGGGTCAGTGCGCCCATAACCCCCCCCCCCCCCCCCAGGATCAATTGGGGATCTCCAGTGGACCTCTGACACCCCCCCGCACTGGGATGCCCGAAGTGCACACACTGGGATTCGAACCCGAGATCTTCGCTCTGATACCATGTCAGAATCCCAACCACTAGACCGTTGGGATAAAAGGGCTTGTTAAGTAGCGGGTCAGTGCGCCCATAACCCCCTAGGACAACGAGCCTGTAACCCTTCCCTAGGATCAATCAGGGATCTCCAGTGGACCTCTGACAAAATGCCATGCCTTATTTTTCTTCCTGTGTTTTTCTACAGCTCTATAATGATGTTACGCCCAAGACAGCTGAGAACTTTCGCGCTCTGAGTACTGGTGAGTGCGATCGTTAATGGCCATTGGCTACTGTTAAAATTCTTACGAAGATCACGCGTCTTTCAGGTGAGAAGAGCCGACCTGGGAAGCTTCTTCACTTCAAGGGCTCCACCTTCCATCGTGTCATTCCTAACTTCATGTGCCAGGTAATGTTGGTTATTTATTTAGCGACACAATAGTCTGCTGTTATGAAACTGTTGGTGCATGGCTCTAGTCTTACGAATAATCATCGCTTTTGCCTGAACAGGGAGGTGACTTCACATGGCATAACGGTACCGGAGGAGAGATCATCTATGCGTCATAATGTTATAGAGCTTACATTTGTGTATGCTATAGTGGGGTAGCCCATAAGGGGTACAACCCAATTAGGGTTAGTACTTGTACCCAACTCTTTGCTAGTTCATCCATCCTCGTTCATTCTTTTGACATGGTATCAGAGCAGGTCCTCCGCTAGGACCGTATTTTTTTCCTTGGGCCCACAACTGCACTACTCCTAGCGACCCTCGTGTCGCCCCTTGGCCCGTCGCCCCTAGGCCCGTCGCTCCTAGCCCGGCCCGTAGGCCCTAGCCAGAGCGCCCCTAGGCCCGTCGTCCCAGCCCCTTGCCCCTAGCCCGCGCGCCCCGGCCCTGTCGACCCCTAGCCCGCGCGCCCCGCCCCGTCGACCCCTAGCCCGCGCGCCCCAGCCAAATCGACCCCTAGCCCGCACGCCCTGGCCCGTCGACCCCAAGCCCG